AGGCAGAAGAATAGACGGAGATAGAGGTAGAAGAGGTAGGATGAGGAGAAGGAGTATGGTTGGTGTTGTTTCGGTTTTGAGTGTTTCGACCATGTTTAGACGTCTGCGGCCCTGGCTAGCCTGGAGACGGCGTGGTGCCCAGCAATGTTTAGGACACCTTTTCTAGGCCCCCCTCCGTAATGGGGACAGGCAGTGCCCCCCGAATCGGGCTGCCTGTGTGCCTGTTTGGCGCGACCGAATCCCACTATGGGACCACGACTTTATGTTTGTAGTGGAGAACGACGGCATATGCCGAGGTCTGCGGTCTCCGTCGGCGTAGGTGGGCGCGTCTCAGCGAAGGCGATGCGGGGACCCATCCCGGCAGCAGCTGTCCAACGGCGTACCAGGCAGAGCCTCGTCTCGACGACGCCGGCGCAACGTTTCATCCGACCAAACGTCCAGCGGAGCCCACAGTACACTGTGCACGCGGCACAAGTCACACAGCGCCCTCACCTGGTATAGCCCACCGGTCGAGGCGGTTGCCCGTGGTGTGGCCGCTGAGCAGAGCCCAGCTACGTGGAGCCACAGGTAAGAGTTGGGTGCCAGCAAATGGACGCTAGGCGTAGTCTCACCTGCAAGCCACTACACACAACACACACACAACGCGACGAACTGCGTGGAGCGAGTGTGGGCGTCAGTCAACAGCCTTCCTATCCACGACCCTTGACGTGTCGGGATAGTCTCGGACTCAAGTCGCCCCTGCAGCCGAAGCCGCATGGGGACCGAGTCGAGATGCACAATTCCCACTTGCGTGGGAGGTGGCAGTTGGATGCTTGCTGTGGGTGAGTGTTGATGCGTAGTGGTGATGGTGGAGAATGGTATGGAATGTGTGAATGTGTGGTGTAACCGGCGGTTGTCTACCGCAGGTCGTCGTGGATGCGCATGTGGCCGAATAGACCCATGCGGTGTCTGAAAGTGCGAGGACAGTGTGGGCAGTTGAGTCGAGCTTGGTGGGTATAGTTTGGTGCTCCAGGCACAGGTCCGTCAGTCTCTGTGCGATGGATTCGCAAGTGACCGAGCAGGCCGATGCGTGAGGTGAATGTGCGTGGACAGTGTGGGCATGAGAAGTCGGCGGTGTTAGTGTCAGCTACAAAAAAGTCAGTGCTGGTGGTGGTGGCGGCGGTGTCGGTGGTGGTGGTGGAGCAGACGGATGGAGCGAGGGTGGGGCTGGGCGTGGTGGATGTGTTGGATGTCGTGGGCGTGTCGGGAGTGCGGTCAATGCGGCTCTCGTGGATGCGCATGTGGCCAAATAGGCCCATGCGATGCGTGATGGTGCGAGGGCAATGTGGGCAGTGGAGGCGAGTGCGGTGGGTGAAGGTTGGTGCTCCAGGCACTGGCTCGCCAGTCTCTGTGCGACGGATTCGCAAGTGACCGACCAGGCCGATGTGTGAGGTGAAGGTGCGGTCGCAGTGAGGGCAGGTGTAGTCCTGGTCCTCATCGCTGGAGTCGGGAAAGGTGGAGGTGGTGTCTGTTGTTGTGTCGCGGTTCTTGATGTGCGAGACGGCCGCCTGAGCGGCCGCCCTTGGGGCAGTGATGGAGGAGGAGGAGAAGGGTGAGGATGGACGTGCTGGTTCAGAAGAATTGTCAGAAAGCACCATAAGAGGGCACGTTCCGCGTGCTCGCGCGCAAAGCCAAGGCCTGCCGGATTCTTCGCGGTGATAAGGAGGACTTGATCAGTTTCTATCGGGTCAAGGCTGCTGTTGCAGAGGCACCACTGCACCCGTCACAAGGACAAAAATGTGCTGACCTCCTAACCCCAGTTCCTCCATCTTCCCTATCATCTGCTCATTCACACTGCCCACTGCCTCGCCCTTCCCCTCCCTTGCCTTCCACCCCTCCGTCCCGCATACTTCCCCTCCCGACATGTCTACAGCATCCAAATACAACATCATCCCGCACAATAGCAAGCAGTCAACCCTCTTCGACTGTACCTCCTGCTTACATGACTTGCAGTGGCCGTTACGTGCATTTACCCGATCGTTTGGTTATGCATTTTTTATAGACTTATGCATATCCACCGGCACCGTAATATTTCGCCTTCCGATCTAGAAGGGGGTACTTTGGTGAGGTATCAGACTAATTTACCTTGGACAATTCAGTCCCGTTTTCTTTGCCTGCATTGCTTGTCTGAATGTGGCGAATTACAACACACCTGTAGAACCCGCCTTTCTGGCCTGCTATGCTGTCCCGCTCTGTTGTCAGGTTACTTAACGTTTAGAATCTCTAAACTATTCACTGCTCAGTTTTACTTGCTGACTATAAGGTTAGGGGCTCGTGAGATATAACTTGTTAGTTCGTGAGAACATTACCATTTATGTCAATCCGTCGCAGTTGTCCATACACCACCACCACCACCACCACCGCCGGAATACACAACATGAGTCACTCGAGCAGCGCTCCCCGGTAAATGCTTCGCATTGACAAATAAATCTATAAAGACAGCTCTCATCACTATCTTACGAAATACCGGCCATGACTGGACGCTGCCAACACCAGTCCTGGCTTCACCAGCGGTCACTTCCGCCTGAGAAGGCAGCTTGGTGTTCTGTGTACAATAAACCCCTCATTCTGACAACTTCTCTTTTTTCCTTAAGCTCGGGATTGGGCCTAATGATTGTAGCGCTCTTTCTACACTCTCTCCGCTTAACCACTACATACTCTCATTTGTCAAAGTGTGTGTGTGTGTCCTTAGATACCAGACTGTACTGCGCAGAGGACGAAGCGGTTGACAGAGGACTCTGAACGGACGATTTCGGACCACCACAATGACCTCTAAGGCGCATTTCATCAGTCACACTTCCTTTCGTATATTCTCACACAGCCCCCTCTTCACACTGGGTGGCTCATATGACATCTTATTTCTTACGGCAGTGATAATGCTGGAGATTGTGCAAAGGGCTGTTTATCTGACGATATTTCGGAAGTACTAGTTGGCGGAATGAGGAATGTTGCTGTTGAGGTGGACAACGGCTCTAAACACAAGGCAGTTTGGTATTCGTGTGATAGTTCGTGCATATTCCGAGTTTGTACACGTCTTTCTTGAAAGGTACATCCACTATCAGCGTAATCAATTCTGTTTCGAAGACATAACTTTGAGTAAGAAGGACTGTTATAAAAGTAAACAGCAATGACAGAGATTATGATCTCAAGCTTACATGAGAGTTAATAAATGGATGGCTTCCACAGATAAGACATCAGTCGAGAATTCTACCGAATTTCTATAGGTTGGATAATGGTATCCTTCGATGGTATCCCCCCCCTTCACGTCCATACCACTCGAGTTGGAAAGGCAATACACAGGAGAACTACTACAGTCCTACGACAGATTTTGCAACATCTTCCTACCTTGAACTCTTGGATCTCTGTATGGAAACTAACTTCTCATTGCCACAAGAACAATATCGACAGCTTAATGGAGTCCCTATGATGTCACCCATTTCTGGTTTCCCAGCCGAGATCACGAAGCAAAATTAGAGGCCATGGCCCTACCATTAGTTTTCCCCCAAATTATGGGTACGCTACGTTGATAAGTCGTTTGTTATAATTAAAAGGGACCAACTAGAAACGCTGGACTGCGTTATTAACTCGCCATTACCGTGAATCACCTTTACGCTCGAAAAAGACGTTGATAATAAACTGAAGTTTCTTGACGCAGTCAAAGTTAACAACCCCCCAAAAATAAACATTAGCGGATGCCACTACTTCCACGAGATTTCGGGGCTACATTAGCCTCTCACCTAATTCAGCCACTTGGGTGCGATGACGCACGCGACTGGCCGCGCGATCGATATGAATGTGCCATTTGAAATGCATACCAAATCGATCCTTCGTCCTCGTTCCTGGCACTGGCAGTTAGTCTGCATCTTCAAAATGGTACCGGCGGATGTTCTGTGGTTCCTGGCCGGTATTTTCAAAAGACAGCTAGCGCATATCGTGGCGTTTGCGGCAGTTTTGCAATTCGCAGTAAACTGCATCGAACGTTGTGTAGTAAAAGCGAAGTCGGGCCAATACGTCGCACGTGAGTATGCACTGTTTTTTACCATTTTCTCTTGTTCAATGCATTTTGAGTGTCTTTGCGCCGACAACACTTACTGCGGCTCATCTTAACTCTTGCCAGGCTATGAAGTGTGTTCAGTCGGAATATTGTGATGCGTGCGCCATAATGTATGCAGGTAGACTGGAAAATGGGTATCCCAGAAGGCATAATTCGACGAAAACAAGTTCTTTAGGAAGGAGTAAGAGAATTTGTCACTTCGACACTTCGTCGTCCAGTGTGAAGTTGGTATTTCGAGTCTGTGTACATCGGGTAGTCCACAGAACTCAGCTATGTTTGATTCAGGATATTTGGACTTCTCTTGCAAAACGCTTAAATGCTGTTTTCAATTCTGTGCTGAATTCTGCGTTTTGGTAGGGTATGCGTTAGGACGACTATAGGTGGATTTATCTTGCAACAGTAACAGCACCTATTTGGCGCAGTCTGCTTTGCACAAATGACAATTGAGCCTCCTTTGCCCGCGGGAAGAATGATGTTGCTGTTGTCAGTTTTGAAAGTTTTCTTCATGCGGCAGTACTGAAGAAGTATCTCGGTTCTTCGAGACATGTAAATAGTTCTTTCGGATTGTGAAACGTGCATCAACTGCAAGATTCTCGTCTGATATGTTAGATCCCAAGTTCTCAAATTAGAAGCACAGGTATCGTATCCAGTCGGCCTGGCATTTATAACTATGCAATAGACCGAAATACCTCTGGCTAAGCTTTTATCCTCTTTTAGTGATGGCTGCGATTTTTGACAGACTTCGGCTTTATCAGCCAAAGTATACGTTGAAGATAATAGATGAAGAGGAAGGTGGAGTGCAGAGAGGACGGTGAGTTTCAATTTGTCAGCGTTTTCTCGATACACCAATTGTAATATCCCAAGCGAGATATCATCAGAACTTACTCGTGATTTCAGATCCATAGGGGAATGTTCGAACATTGAGGCCGGCACCTACATCCCGCCTTCGGAGACAAATCCGCACACAAAGAACACGATGCGGCTGACCGAGGGAACTGCGACGGCACCTGCGGTGTCCACAATGATCACGGATGCGTATGTCACCTGCCATGCTTGCATCCGAACATTTGCGCATGAATCATTTTTGCATTGATTTGCTAACGCACAATCTTGTCTTTGCAGTGGTGACGTCGTTGATAGGCCTGAAGGGGATATTTTGGACGTGGAACCGTCTGAAGTGAACACTAGCGGCCAGGCCAATGTCGTCGTCGAAGCGGGCGACGGTGAGGTGTACAACACAGGTTAGTCTTCATGTCATCAGATAGTACATATTCCAACTTTGTATGTGTCTATCCTCAAATGTGCATCCATTACCAACGTACTGTTTTCTGTTTAGCGGACGCCACTGTCACTAAAGCAGAAGCAATTGCCACTGAGGAGGACAGCGGTGAGTGAGAGTTCCATATCACATCTGACGTCAGATTTGGCAAATGTAAGACTTAAAACGATCCCGTCCTTGTTTGCAGAGTCCCATCTTACTGCGCAGAAACCTAGACGACGAGTACGCCTTGGTCGGAGAATCCGACGACTGTTTCGTCGTCTTAACTGCTGTGGAACCGCGACCGCACAGGACTGACCACCTCCCTCAACCGCCCGACTTCGTAGTCTACTGTATTGCATCTCGAGAGGACTCTACATCGCAGATGATTCATCTGTTTTCCTGTTGTTAAACTTACTTATATCCTATGTACTTTGTCCCGATCGGATCTATTAGAAGATGCGTTTGCACTGTCGATATTCTCCTCATGTATTCTAAGCCTATCCCCCCCCTCCCCGATACTTGTAATTTAAGATTTTCTGAGTAGCTGTGATTGTACAGAATGTCTTCATATGTAATCTAATAAACAATTTCGACGATCGGCTTGACCGAAATGGTCAGTTGTGTGATTAGGCCTGAGTTGTCGGCAAATGCGGACTAGACGAGAATGATGGGGTTCGAAAATAGTGGGTAGACTTGCTAACCAGTGCCTGGAAAACTAACATACGCTAGACGCTCTGGCCTCAATTGAATATATAGCTAATCAAGAGAACAACCTATCTGCAGGGCTGTGGATCCCCACGTACCATAGCTGACAACACTCCAACACACCCCTCCTCATAACGTGCATTTGGTCCCAGGATTAATCAAATGGATGTGATCATTGTACATTACGATGGGTGAACAAGTGTCATTCGGTTAAATGCGGTTATGTAGCCGCACCTGAGATAAACAAACCCCAGCCACCCGTAATGCGGGACCGGTGGTTGTAGGTGTTTTTACAGGTGAGCGAAAGTCCACTATTCATGTGTGAGTCACCGTCCCTGGGCTCACCCTGTTGTGAAGTATACGGTGGACATCGTCCATCACGACGGTCGGGCTGTCGGGTGTTGGAAATAGGGGCTGTTCTAAGTGCTCATTCTGATCGGGATATGGTGATGCCGCAGCGTAAGTGAATGCTAGTGGAAGACCTATGTCAATACGTACCTCAAAGCCTACCCTGTACGTCTAGTATGTATGCTCACCATTAAGAAATCTCACAATTCAACGCCATTTTCAGGGAGAAG